ACAATACTACAATAAGCAAAATACCCATAGTAAATACTAAATGTTTTGGAGTTATACGTGGTTTACTTTTAAAATAAAAATAATTATTTTTTCAAATTAAGAAAAATAATTTGCACATTTCTGGTTTAATTTCGTACGTTGGTTGATAGGACACTTAAATAGCTATAAGATAAAAAAAAATTACGTCAAAATGTTGATTAGTTTTGAAGATACATAAAAATATGTGTGGTAGTTTTGGTTTTGATAAAAAAAAAGTTAACTGCCCATAACTTAAAAAATAAAACCCACTATTTAAAGGGTATTTCTTTATCATTTTGGGTATACTTTCATATCACGTCGGCCGGTCACTTCACCCCGGGACACATTGTATAATAAAATATAAATGCTACTTATTACATTATAGTATTATACATATTATTGTACTAGATGTCGAGGGACCAATACAAGAAGGCGGGGTCAGATCCATCATAGGCTTTTTTAAACAGATTTTGAGAAAATGTTTTTTAATCTGGTTATATACACAATGTTTGGTGTAGTTGGAACTATATTTTAAACACATATTATACTATATAAACAAATTACAAACACACAGTAGTGGCACGAACTTTCTTTATTTTAAGGATATCAAAATTTGATTCATCCACCAATCCAGTTATTAAGAAATGGATCTATTACTCCTGGAACTATTGAACTTATTCACGAATATAGCGGTATTAGAAAAAAAGACCTGAAATAAAAAATTTGTATTCATTAGCTAAAACTTAAATTTTAATTTTAATCACAATGTATATTATATAAACTACCCAAATTTAAATATATATTTGAAATAATCTGAATTTACCACCATTTTCATACTTTTTGATCACACTGTAGTGTGGCTGTGTGTACTAAATAATATAAAGATACCAGATACATATAGGTATAATTGAAAGATTCCCAACAAAAGTAATTGTTGTTTTATAAAGATAAAGATGGTCATCTTGCAAATGATTTAATATTATTTTATACAAAAATTTACAATGTACCTACCTTTGAATTATGATAATATAATTTCATTTACATAATAGTTATTTACTTAGAGGCTTTTTTTCCTAGATTCCTAATTATAATATATATTAATTTATTATTATTATTAGAAAATTAAGACCATTCAATACGTACAGTAATAAATTCCTAAACTGCTACCTACTATGTGAGTATGAGACTTATTGAGGTATTGAGACATGCACAAAAATAATAATAATTGCAATTTTCAGTATTATCACGTTTGTATCTACTGTATACAGTGCATAGACAGCCAGGCAGGTATAAATAGCCTTTCACACTTCAAAAGGGCAGGAGATGATTTCGATGTATACATATAAATCATGTGATATAAACCATATTATTATACAGCCAAGCTCAGATTAAGACCTTTATGGCCCAGGCCCCAGGGGGTCGATACTAGTTCGTGACTTTGTGAGCCCTCATTAAGGGAGTAAGTACATAATATCGTCTATATCTACTATTCGTATCATTATTCGAACCATAAATACTAAAATAATGGCTATCGCCTAGCGGCTAGCCTATTCATCATATTCGGTGTTCAATTTTTAATCAATGAAAATACACCATAATATGAAAGAAAGATAAACCTCCCAAGAGCAAAGATCATAATATAATATGATAAATAATAGTAAGTACCTATTCTTTCTTTCATATCCACAAAAAATATTACGATCCCATAAATTGTCAAGAAAGCTATAACAATTAACAACCCCTAACCACATGGTGTATATCTCTATATTATATTATTATCTATATGGTTTAAACATGATAATATTGGACGCATTGGAGTATATATAGCTTAATAATATTAGATATGCTTACTATCGTCATTGATTATAAAATATAAATACTAGTCTTTATAATCAACGATTATACATAATAAATATTAATATAATATTATGTATATTTAATCAATGATATTACATTATTACTCTCGTCTCGCAATACAATATTGAATATAATATGGGACATAGAATTAACATTTAAAAAAATGATTTTTTTATATATATTATATAATATATAGGGATAATAAAATAATAATATGTAATATAATATCTACAACCCATATAATATTAGTATTTTCAATAAAATAATAAACAGTTAAAAATTCCTTTTTGGCTAAAAAAAAAAAATATTAACAGCATAGCCCATAGGTATGAATATTTATTTTTATCAATTAAACTACTAGGTAAATTAATAAACATTATTCTTTAATTTAAAAAACATTATAAATGTTAATGTACACAAGTAGTAATAGTAGGTACCTATACTAAAATATATTAAATTTGCCCTGATTAATTTTCTTAAAAATACAGGTACAATGTGTTTAATGATAAATGCGATTTCATATAGATACACCATAAACGAATAAACATGATTTCAGATTTATTGAAATTTTATCTCACTCTAAATCTGTCAACTTATAAAATATAAAAATATATGCAAATATGCAATTAATATTAGGACTTAAAATGTGGTGTTTCAATTATTCATATATTTTTATATAAATAATAACTTGTGAGAAATATTAATAAAATGACTAATGACTCATTAGCAACAACTAACGTCGGTACTCAATAACGATCACTGATTGGCAGTATTTATTAAACACATTAAAAAAAATATAATATGTTAATTATATTAATTATTTACGTATTTGTGTAAATTATTAAAACTAGTATTGAACGAACAATTTTGTTATTTTTCCTTGACAAAAATAACTCCTTCATTTTCACGTTCTTTTTTTTATAAAAAGGAATTCGACAATCAAAGTGCCTTTCAAAGAAATTCGTTCCAGGAAACCGTTTCTTTTGGAACTCGTTCCTTCCAAACACTGGGCATTTTCGTATACATTAATCCGGGCATGATAGTAACAATAGTAGTAAGGACTTCTAAAATATTTTAAGCATTGCTATGTTTCATTATAATACATATTATATTTTTTTTATCGAACAAATTTAATTATATGGTTTATAATCATTTTATATTACAACCACAATATTTATTATCAAATCGTTTATTGGCTTTATAATACGTAACATGACAACATGTAATAATAATAATATGTAATATGAATCGCATAATAATAATAATTGATTTTAACATTTGAATGACCTAAATGACGAATGATGCATCGGGATGCTGACTATATAGTGTTCGGTGTGACGTATATTTATTATCTAAGGCAATATATTTGGTAGACAATATTCATCACATTAAATACATACCCAAGTGGACATGTAATTTCGTAGGGACGTATAGACATTAGGCATACCTATCCTAATACTAACAAAAATATATTATGAAAAAAAGTCCGATTGTTTTAATGTGTGTTCTAATCGCTCTAAATCTGTATACCTACCGTACATTCACTTATTATAAGATAGCCTTACTTTTTTATTAAGTACCTAATTGTTTTTCCAAAAATATAATTTAATGAAATTGGGGAAGAAACTAATAATAGTCAAACACAATTGTATAGAAGGCCGTCTTCGAGTTTTGTGTCAAAGATCAGGTATCGATTAACCACTAATTGAATAGCTTTTACGAAATAGGTACCTCCCATTATATTATACAATAAAGAAGTAGTTAGGTGGTAATTTTATAATAATGGTTAATGTATAATTAATAATACAATTTTTTCGGCATTTTTATCGTTTACCAATATTATAGTAGGTAGTAAATATTATATAATCACGATAACAATGTTAGTTATATAAGAAAATACGTATTATATTTTTTTTCCGGGTAGTGTGTCCCATATACCGATATACCATAGTTGTTTTAACTACCTATCTACTTTAATTTACACATAATATGTAGTTTATTTATTACTGTTGAGGGTCTTTCAACAGTTTTGGGGGACTTGAGCAGTTGAGCTGCTATTATTTCATTACGGTGCATTAGGTGCTGTGCGCATTAACCGAACGAAACTAAACAATATTATAATGTTATTTGAATATTCTTTGTTCCCACTATCGCTGTTGCGCGCAAACGGTGCCAAATTGCTTCCACGCGACTTCTGCAACACCGCGATAATGCACAAAATACGTACAATAACAATATTCTATTGCAGTGTAATAATATATTTGATCAACATTAGGCCGCTTTGATCGATTCGTCACGTCGCAATAGCGCGAGCGTCGCATAATATACATAAAATCATATACCTACCACAGCGATACGAGTTATACGACACATACGTATAGGTATTGTAAAATTATGTATATTGTGTATAATACGCCGTCGGGCACCGCCTCCCCGGCCGGCCTGTCACACTGTCGTTTTCACTGGTTGTATATAGGTACTTGGATGCGCGTACGATATATATTATATACCTTACCTACTGCGTAGTTTGCTGTGACGATAAATGATGATGATAATAGTAATAATAACAATAATATATTGTACATTTATTATACCTCTCTATACCTAAACGCAGGTATAAACGTTATTACATTTCCTCGGGCACGGTTCACGACGGGCGGTGGAGGGTTATGTTCGCCGCTCGCCCACCCACCACGATCGCCGATCCCCCGCCGACACCGCGACCGCGGCACTGATATCGTATAACAAACTGACGCCGGGTGGGAACTGAGTAGAGCACTGCGCCGCCGCCGTTGTACTGCACAGCCATCCCACCTGCGAAACTCACACACACACACACACACACACACACACAACACACAACACACAACAACACAACACACACACCCATACACAGAGCAACACTGCAGCGACCAGAGAGTGCAGCGGCGCGGCGTCGCCGTCATACGGTGTTTAACCTTTGTCGCTGTCGCTGATTCAGTCGTCCACGTCCCGTTGCCGTGCTCCGTCAGTGTCTCTCTGTCTCGCGCCACAGTCCATCGCGCTTCCAGTCGAATACAATCTATTATTATTATTTTATTAAATTTTATTAGTTATTTACAAAATATAATAAATCGTCCGCCAACATGACCGTCATCACTATGCCCACGGCCGAGAAAAAGTCGGACAACGTGCCGCTGGTCACCAACATCGAGATCGACTCTACTGCCCAGGTAAGTCGGCCGTCGTCGACAGTTTCGCATTTGAGTATTTTTTTTCGCGTCTTTCCTCCATTCCGCAACCTGCCCACGGAACCGTGACTCGACTCGCGATATTATCCAATACGCTTTTCCCGTCTCTTCCGGGTTTGCGCTATTTCACTATTTGGTTTTATTACGCCTATTTATTCGTTATTCTTTCGTTTCACCGACGACACCGTCTGGCGTATTATAAAATATGTTATAACCACCGATAGAATAATAATAATAATAATATAATACGAAACGTTGTACGTTGTACCTATTATAATATTATAATATGCCGATGGCTACAATCTATATTGTTAGTGTTGTTCTTATTATTATATCATAATACCAATATCATCACGATTCACGATATCTTTCGTTTGGCGACAAGCAATCAACATTCGACAACAACATTACAACAAAATAGCGACGTAAATGTCACGTACACCTGACCCGGTGATTCGTTTACCTTGTAAAGTTGTAAAACGAGCATTCGAGTTTCGATAATAACAATCGTCGTTGTTATTGTTGTCGGGGCATTTCTATAATTAGAATAACAGTGTTATTTCCACGAGATTTATTCTTGTCCCGAAACCATGTGAATTGGACGGTTATAACTTAGAACACATAAACATAATATTTATATTGTTTAAAAACACAGTCGAATACGTCATCAATGTTCTGCTTTATTTAATTTTCGTTTAGTCATCGGCGTGTCTCAGTGTGACTTTTACAATAACATTCTTGTTATTATAATATTATGCATAAATTATTGTTGTTTAGTCTCAATGTCATCCAATTCCTATCTTAATGTAAACGATAATATTATAATAATGCTTGGTTGTGAATTTGTATGTTTATTTTATTTTTTTTATAATATTACGTACTCGCTATCAATGCAGTGTTTTTGGGCTCAAGCCCAAACTATTACACACCTAACAAGTGGTAATCTATTAGCATTGTACAATGCTTTCATTAGAGAGCTCATTGTTTTCTGGCTATTCACAACGAATCTTTTGTTTTCTATTATGTTGTGCAACAAAAAAAATGTATTAGTGGTGCGTTTGCAGACTTTGATCTATGATAAAGCTTTGACTCTTACTTCGACATTGAAACATAACATACAGCTGTATATTTCTAAATATTTTTAAATTTTCTGTACTTTTTACTGAGTGTTGGGTACCAGCATATTTTTACGTTGGGGGATATTCCCCAATTTAATGCTTGATAGGTTTTTATACGTTGTTAATTAAAATATGTGGGCATTTTTTTCATATTATTATTTGTGGACAATACAAGCGCTTATTAATAAAAACCTTGAATTGTTGTTAGCTTATCATAAAATATTTCTATTACAATTCTTATTATATTTAATTATTATATTGCTGCCTTTCACACATTTCCTAAACCTCATAGGTACCTAATTCATCATATTTTGTTGTTACAATGATACATCAAATAGGTAACAACACCAGTTATATTTAATTTGGGTATTAACTATTAATTTAGTTAATATCAAGTCCTAAGTGAAGGTCAAAGGAAATTCAATTATGTTTTCTATTATATCATTTATTTTTATATTGAATTTTTTTGAATTTAAATTGAATATATTTATTTTTATGGTGTTGAAGTAATAACAATGATCTACAAAAAAATATTAAATTATTATTGCTTGTATTTTAATAGTTCTATTAGTTCTCCAAGTAGATACCTAGTTACCATTTATATTTTGGTTAAATAATAATTCCGATAATAATTTAATTATAATGAGCCAAGTTTCACTCTGATTCTTTTTGTAGAATTTTGCATAATTAATACAGATTTTATTGAACACAAGTTATTTTTAGGTACCTATATAAACTATTTGAATTAATAACATCCAAAAAAAATAAAATACCAACCTAACATTATTGCATTTTTCAATTTTCATATTATTATCGGTTACCTACCTAGTACATATATTTTTCAAATGAAAATTTTTTAACAATGGCCTGTTTTAGGTATTCTTTATACCAGTTGTTTTTAACCGGTGTGCTGCATATCCTTATGGTGATCAAAAAAATTAAATCATGCATGCTTAACTTTGTTCAAGTCTAGTTGCGAGTTGTGATTTCAAGAAATCATGAAATAACTACTATACTCTGGCCCACTAAAGAGTGTCCCATCGCCAGACGAAAACTCTTCCGATTCCGCTCATCACCAAGTATTTGACACACACTAAATGGCGCAAAGTGGGAGAATGTCGACAGTCTGCATGCGGAAAACGAGGATACTCTGTCGTGGGCCAGAGTATACAGATTACAGAGTGCATTTTTTTGAATTGTCTATTGAATATTTTGTTTGAAGTTTTATATGTGTGTACTGTGTTATTTACTAGTATTGCATAAAGCTGGTCGGAGCAATATAATATGTAAGTGAGACTTAGTGTTCTGTGACAGTTTTGTTATAAAAATAAAATGTGCTGGATTTTCAAAAAATTTGAAAACCACTGCCTTAGGTATATTGTCTGTGGATTATCTCATTAAGTATATAATTATAATTAATATTAGTTATAAACTGAAACAAACGCACAGTTTGTAATACACCCTGTATTATACCACATATTATCTATTTAGAACAGGGTAAGAATTTACATATTTTGCGTACATTTTTAATTTACAATTTATGTAAAAACAGAATATTTTTTAGGAATTTAAATGTACCTAATTCAATTTTTAAAGATAGTTTATTACTAAATAAACTTTTAATTCATAAAATGTATAGTAATAAATAGTCCCGATCTACAAAAAGTTGGTAAACACCAAATGAAAGTATTTGTCGTTCTACCGATGATGGACAATTGTTATACCAGCTTTACAGTAACAATTAATACTAATCGACAAAATATTTTTTTGACTTTTGACTTTATTCTTTTTTATAATCTCTTCACTTTCCACAGATTCTGTCAACCAGTGGCGTATCCAGGGGGGGGGGGGGGTTTGGGGGTTGTAACCCCCCCCCCCCCCCGAAAATTGTTAAATTATAACAACGTTTTCATTAATAAATCATTTTAAGATAAGATTCCACAAAAAAAAAATTATAACCCCTCCCGAAAAAAAATTCTGGATACACTACTGCTGTCAACTACTTAAAAAGATTTCCTCAGTAGTTGAGTTGTATAATATTATATAGGTAGGTTAGTCTGAAGACAGTTAGTCCTTTTTTTGCTTAAACATTTTAATATTAATATTTACTCCTGTATTTACTGTACTTATAATGTTCAGTAACTATCCTATACTTTGGTATGGTATTTCATAATATATTTTTAAATTTAAAAATACATTAATTGTTTTCCCATCCCCTGACAACTATTTTTGTTATCTCTTATAGCTAATTGATCATTTTGTTGGCTATTAGTTCCAATTTGTAAAATTGAGTTAATTTTTAGATTTTTACCTTATAAAGTTAGTTTAGTTACTCCCGTACGTTTTTTGTTGGCCCATTTGACTGAAAAACTTTTTGATTGTTTATTGTTTATTTTATAGCCTATGAAATTGTATCTATTTAATTAACTAGATTATGTTAAAATTCATGTTCTTTAAAATTTGCATAAGCTTGCCGGCTATCATAAAAAGTGTTGGAAACAGTTTTAAAACAAACATGTTAGGTATTTAATTATTTGACTATTAGTTTTTAAACAACCCGTATGATGTACCTACAATAATTGTATGTTTTCCAGGAGATTCATGGAATTATTAGATTACTTACTTATTCAATATATCGATTATTTTAAACTGGTCGGTTGATAACAAACCAAAACCATATTTTTTTAAATATTATTGTTGTTCTGTTGTTTTTTTAAAAACTTCTAATAGCTAATAAAAATTAGTTTAAAATTACAATTATTAAAAATAAATAAAACATTTTGATTTAGTTAAAAAATAAAATTATTTGCTTGTTCCTAGAATTTTTAAATATAGTTAATGTTGTTATTATGTACCTAGATTTAACATATTTGACATATAAGCTTCATGTTTACAAATTTAAGGGTTCAGATGTTTTAAAATCTTGATATTTCTCTTACAATGTTTCTTAAACAATTGGTAATACATATTATAATTTATATTACAAAAAACTATTTGTAGGTATCACTTATTTTATAAACACTTACTATACTCCGGCCCACGAGAGAGTATTACCGTTTTGCGCATGCAGACTGACGGCGGAGACCGTTCTGAGGCCCCATTTCCCCCACTATTTCCGCGACCGCTATACACCGTATAGCGTTGAGCGCTGCCGACCGGTACCGAACAGTTGTCGGCACATGCCGAGCAGTGGGGAATGCGCGGAATCGGACGAGTTTTCGTCGGGCGACGGTAATACTCTCTCGTGGGCCGGAGTATAACAATTTTTTGTTTTATTTGTAATGTCTAAAATGATGTACTTATTTACATCTTATTTAAAAAAAAATTACAAACCTATATTCTTTTTAGTATTATAAGATAAAGGTACCTATAGCTCCCATTGTATATCTAATTTGATTTAAAATAATTTTTGGTTTTTTTTCAGGATAAAGACGTGGAATCAGGAAATGGTGCACATAACCGCCCTGTCAGATCTAAATTTTTGGTGCTCAGAGTCATTAATGATCGTGTTTATTCTATGTGGGCATTAATTTATGTATTGCTGATGTCATTAGTAATTACATTCATGATGCTCTATGGAGAACATATTTATAGAGCTATTGGAAATGCATTTAATGACGAGGTAATATCTTGAATACAGTAAAAAATAATTACATACATTAACATTTTTTTTCTAAAATCTATTTTAGTAGGTATATTATAATTCTTTGTCTATATAATATGTATTGTGTGTTAGTACCTCTATGGTTATATGATATATGTATAGGTAGTATATTTGATACATATTTATTAATCCCAATTACCTACTAAAAACTAATATTTTAATTTAAAAAACACACATTTTACATTATTTCTTATAGTATGCTTAGGTTCATATTATCTAGTTACATGTTATAAAAATGTATGAAGTCCTTTATAACTTTAATATTTTAATCCTAATAATCCTATTTGTAATATTATAATCTAGAGTGTTGATATACCTGATATAGTACATGCAGAAAAAACAATGAGTTAAAGTAAAAACGATATTAGTTAATATAGGTAGGTACCTACAAATTAATAAAAGAAAATGAAATAGGTACAGTACTTTACTGCCTCGTATACTGCTTTATTTTTAAATATGTTGCTGTAGTGTAATAAATGGTTTTGTATGAATATTTTTTGTTTAAAAAGTAATATTCATACCTACTAGGTACTTATAAACATGAAACAATTTAACATTTGAATACTACATAAACAGTATTAAATGTTGAGTTGGCAAACATTTTGTTATGCTTGATCTACTACTACAAACTTTTTTTTATTTACTTCTTTTAAAATTTGTTACCAAAATATGAAATATAAATTATTTGATTACCACTTTTATATTTTATGTGCCAAAATAATATAAATATAATAATACATTTAAAAAACAAATTGTATATACTATTGACTGTACCTATGCTTAAATGTAATTACCTATATTTATTTATTTGTAAAACAAATTTCATTCTATAAATGGACAAATAATTATTCTGCTATAACAGGTATAATTTTTCATTAAAATTAATTGAAACCAATAACTATGGTTTTTGGAAGGGGGGTTGTTAATATTATAAAAAAATATACAATATACATACAAAGTACAAACAATACATTGATTTTAATTAAAAAAAATATTTATACACATTATATCTGTTAGATCAGAGATATTGATAATAATAAATTACAAAATAAAATAAATATTCCTTTGAAGTTTAATTCATGTAATAATTTAATATGACACGGTTCAATGGGAGGGGGGGGGGTCCAAAAACTTCAAATACCCCCCTTTGTTATGCCACTGATTGAAACCTTATATAGATTTTTATTTAATTATAAAATAATGTAACTAAAAAAAAAAATTTCAAATAAAGATGAACAATTTTAATATTAGGAATAGTTGATTTATTTGAAGTACCTATGTTGCTATATTTTATTGAAACCAGTATTCTTATATTATTAAATTAATAATAAACCAAATGTTTTCAGTAAATTTTTTGCAATGCTCTTCAAATAACAGTTAAGTTTTTGAAAACTGAAAAACAAAAAAGTATGATTTTATCTTTAAACATAATTTTAAACTTTTTATGTTTATACACTACCCTAAAAAAAAAAACAATTGATACTTAATTAAATTTTAAAATTATGTGTTATATTATTGTGAATAGTTTCCATTACATTATAAAAAAGAATATGTAAGAGAAAAATAGTTCAATAATATTCACTGTGTAATTTGTAATGTTTACACAGCTGTACAACAGTTGTTGGCCTATAGGCAATAGGTAACAGACAACTTAAACTATATGTTCGCATATTGATTTTTGAGTGGGAGTATGTAAGAATTATTTACAATTTTCTGTTAAATTGCTGACAATAAAGTTTTTGATGAAGTCATTGGTTATTTTATATTTTTGACATCTAAATAGTGATGTTAAGTTATATACTATACACATGTAGAAAATGGTATTATGCATACAAGCTATATAGAATTATTATTCAAAACAACACAATTATTATCATATAATATAATATACAACAATCATAATTTATATTTGTTAATATTGTTATTTATTAGACTATTAGCCATTGGTCCTAGTTTATTAATATTTATCATTAATTAAGTTATTATTCATTCAAAATGTTGTTAAATTTTCTGATTTCTTGTTAAATTGAAGTTATCTAAACATTAACAGATACCTAAATTCATTCTTTCTTTCTTTTTATCGTCGATAAATTATAATGCACTTGCTTTTGAATGAGAAATGTTAAATAATTAGGTAATTTCTATAATTTGAAAATAAAACGTATTTTAATTATTATGTATCTACTATTTACCATTTGAAATGTGTACCTATACTATAACTATTAATTATGCTGTAGGTCTGTAGTGGTTTATTATACATTATACAAAGTTTAATATATGTATTAACATAAGATACAAGGTATACAAATTATAAAAGTAATGAAATAATACAAACAATTAAAAAAAAAAAACTGTATTTTTACATCACTATATTTATATGATCATATTTGAATCCATAATTGCATCAAATTATACTTAAAAATGTAATAATAGTTTGATGCATACTATATCAAATTGAAATTACTTTTAATCTAAAAAAGGGTGTTACATCAGTGTTTGTTTCATTAGATAAAAAAAAATGAAGTATATTTTTATATTTTATACACACAAAAGCATTTTCAAATGTTATGTTTTCAGAAAAAAATAATCTCACCTACTGTATTACGAATAGGAAAATAAATTAATTTAATAGCCATAATATCATAAAATATACTTAGTAATATAGGCTGTCTCCACTTATAATCATCTTTTGTTTACAATAATTTTATATCACTGAATTCAAATTTAACACATCTATTACAGTGACCCACTCGACCCATATTGTACAGCAGGCGGTACCTATTTGCCCACCCTTTTTTTAAATGTTTATTTGTTAAGAATAAATTTGGTAATTCAGTGATTGCATATTATTGTATTAATAAGTATGGTACTTTTGTTTTATTATTTTTGGTATAGAACGATGCTTTCTATGGTACTGGCACTATTGCTTTAAATGATAAGTTAACTCTTCCTATTCAAGATATAAACAATGATTATGAAATGAACCAATTAAAAAATGATATGGAATTCAAGAATCTTGAGGTAAATAAAAGTGTTTGATGGTTAGACCTTAGTCATACTGCATCATATCAACAAAAAAAAAAAATCATTATTCATGCACTTTTTTTTATATGTTTTGTTATAACTTCCATACTTCACCTTTTTATAAATTTTTATTTGTATCAAAATGTTTTGTGATCGTATTGTAATTGTGTAAATATATAAATACATATGCTTAATTTATAGTCCAATTAATATGTAATTCAATATGTTAATGAATATTATTGTTACATTATAGAATTTTGCTTTGCATATGGAAAATTTGAACAACCGAATGGTGAGCCCTGAAGAAGTCATTTCACAATTTAAAGAAGATTTTGAACTTGACCTTAAGGATGAAAGTTATGAAAAAATTCTTCCCATTCTACCACTCGCTAACTCTGCTCGTTTTATTCATGATTTTAGTGCGGTAATTATAAAAAAAAATTAAAAATTCCAAGTATCTTAATATTTATTATTAATTATCTTTATTTCAGAATGTCACTGGTATTGTAGATATTGAAGGAAAGCGTTGTTTCATTATGCCATTGAACCGCAGTGCAGTATTGCCACCACAATCCTTATACGATTTATTGTTTAAAATGTCAAGTGGTAAGTATTTATAAAAGGGTTTATAAACTATAAATCAATTACATTATTATAGGTGTTAAAATTGTTTTATATGTTTTTGGTAGCTTTAGATTTTGGCTATGGTCTTTAAGTATAGGCGCCAGGTTTTAAAAAACTTAATGGGTGCCTTGGTATCATACTATCATAGGCATAAATGCATAATGTTGGGGGAGGGGCTTAGGCACTGGTCAAGACAATGTCCCCGTAAAATTAAAAAAATGGAATTGTCTTTTCAGGTGGGGCTAGTTACAATTTAACCCCCTAAAATTTTAATTTTGGCTCTCCAAATTGTGCCTATTGGTGTCATGATTTTACTACTTAACCAAAAACGTTTACATTTTCTTAAGAATTTTATTGGTGTATACAAATATTAAATAATATATACCATGTTGTACACTGAAATATGCGATCATCATTGATTATAAAATATATTAATTATACAACAAAATAAATGTATACCAAATTGATAACTTATTTATAAATAATAATAATAAGTAAAACAAAAAATAAAATTAATTTAATTTGACTATTCAGAAAATAAATATGTTTTGACGTATTATAGTTGAATTTATAAATGAGTTAACTCTTAGCTATCAATATCTATATCTTCATTACGACGGACATACAATAAAGCAATATTGTTAAGACGATTTTGTTTCATTGTAAACCTTAAAAATGTTTTTAATCTTCAAAGTGCTGAAAAAGATCATTCCGAAGTACAAGACGATACCGGAACAGTCAAAATAATAATAATTTTGTAATTTGTCTCATCAGCCATAGATTGTTAATGGATACCTCTTGTAATTGAAAATCTACCACGATGTAGGTTAGTGGTTACAAAAACCGTACCATCACATTTTACTATCAATACAAATAATACAATTTTGTTTTGTTTTCAAAATTGTAATTTTTATCACAGCTAGAATTTTATTTCAATAGTCGTTTACTAAAATTGTTGAAACTTGGATATAAATACACACTGTACATTTTCAATATTTTAATGGGTGCTTGAGCCCCCGGGCACCCATGTACCTGGCGCTTATGTCTTTAAGTGTATTAGGTTACATATTTTTATAAAAAATGTGCACATTTTTAACATTTTTGTAGTTTGAGCTAAAATATTAATAATATTAATAGCTAATAGGTATACTATGATTGTTCTTATTTTATTGGAATTACCCAATACTTATTTGTATTCTGATTTCTGACTCTAAGCTTATAAAATATAATATATAAATATATTCTGTAGATTATAAGACTATTCTTATAATGTATATTTTATTCTATCTATGGTGAGTTGTATATATTTTGTGTGTGTTATTGTTATCATCCCATGGCCATAATATCACAGAACAGTATAGAAGCGACACTCGATCAGCAGATTTCCCTACGGTATGAAGTATTGGGCTCTAAAAGTTGTACCTTATCCGTAATCTGATATAATGTTGGCAACGTGTATTGCTCTTTGTTACGGAATTATATAAACTGAAACAATCCTTTGACCACGGACGACAACCAGTCGTGTGTTTGTATAATTTTTAATTTTGCTATGAAATATTTAATTGATATTGTATACCACGCATCCCAGAAACCGTCTTCAAGGCCACAGTCACCGGATTTGGCCATAACACACAGTGTCTATGCCCTGATAATATTATTTTAGGTTGACTTAGGTTAGTGAATTCCTAGATATTTTCAGTTAAAATTTGATTTGGAAATGGCTAATATAATTATTGTATATGATTTACCACTCGTTTCATTTAAGAAAAAAATATTGGTTTTGTTTAATTTTATCTTTTATTTGCAAGCACATTTTTAATTTCATGTATAAATGTATAGTTGCTAGAGTATTTGTGGTGATATTTGGTTCTAAATTGTATGATAGAATATTATAATGGCTATTATATGTTTGGTATGTGTTAGAAATGTTGAATATATTGTATATTAAATGGTGTTCCATTAGGGTGATTGCAACAATGAACTATGTATCTTTAGTGTATGAATAATTTTATTTGCTGATAAGTAAATTCTAATAATTAGTGCTTGTTTATTTATTTGTGTTGAAGTCTAGAATGGGAGTGTAAATGTGTAATATGTGCTTGTATTGGAATATTCTGTTATTTGAGTCTAGTAACTAGAACATATCAGCATTTGAGTGTATTAAATTAGTAATTAGGACTGTTTATCATTATTTATTAACATTGTAATGTTGAATTTTATGAACAGTATGGTGGTGATAAACAGGATAGGTATATAATGGATTTGAGTTATTATCGAAACTGAAGTGTATGGTTAGTTCTGTAATAGGGTTTGTTATGGATTATTATTTTGTATTGATAGTATAAAGGTTGGATGGCCATATAAAATATTATAATTTGTTGATAATATTACTTGTTTTCAAAAGAAAAAATATATATAAACTCATTACATTTATTAAAACTTTGAATAAGAGCATTTAATTATATATGTATAATTATGAATGTGCTGTTTAAAAGTATATGCATAGTGAATTTTAAATATTAACTTAATTAATTTAAGGTATAAGATTCAAATGAATCAATTCAATTTATATTTTCATTAACACTGTAAGTCATTGTTCTAATAGATACAGATAAATTAATCTTGTTTTAGTAATTACTGATACCAATATAATATACTTATAATTTTGTGATTTATAATATTAATATATATTATTAATAGGTTATTACGCCGTTGACACCAACAATGTGATGCACAATATGCGTGTGGTCAAACCAGCTATTCAGGATCTCACAGAATATGGCATTTACATTGCTAAGGATTGTGCAGGTTTTCCAACTTATAAACTAGAAAAATCGTTTCTGGAGTGTATGTTAAAAAAATCAAGTCATTGTAATACTTGTATGAAATTATTATGTTTTATTTTTATAATTAACAGCTGTTATAACAATTTAATTTGTGCATGTGCATTAAATATGTTTCATGTTATTATTAGTTATTTATTTAATATGACAACTTGCATGAAACTAGCTTTTGGTTAGTGGAACATTTTATTATTGTATTTAAGCTTCCAAAATTAATTTATATTTTATATTATCTTATCATTGTGATACAAATTGGATTTTCTTTTTAAATAAATTATGATCATCTTATTTACTAGTTATTGTGATATGCATTTGACCTTATAATCATTTACAATATAAACACAATACTTTGTTTGTACTAAATACATTATACACTACTTTGATTAATTGTTATGTACTAATTCAGTTATCTTTTAATACTTCTACAAAAAGAAACAATTATAAGTCACTCGTTTACCAATGTTATAAATTAACTCACAAGGTATTATATACAAGCTCAAAAATTTTAATCAAGAAGTGTGTTTTTACACGGATTTTGATTCACAATAAAATATATCATATTATTGAACCTTTTAATGTAACTAATTTTCTTCCTATTTATATTTAAACTTTTGTATGAGAATTTTAAACAATTAACTTCCCAAAATGTATTGGGTGAATACATTTTTAGTTTCTAATGATACTACCATTTTATTTTTTTAATCAACAAAAAAAACATTTTGGATGTTTATTTTTAATGTTTTTGATTAATTTTATGAATAATTTTAGGCTTTAATTGCCTAGTTAAAAATTATATTTTGATGAATTTGAATAATAAAAAATTATTAAACATATTATATTATACTTCCAATTCCATTTGATTTAAGTTGCATTAACCGAATAAATAGTACAGGTACATATATTTTAAAGATTTTATATTTTATATTATACACAATTATGTTATATATTAGGAGCATGCAATTTTGTTTTCAACACAAATATGAAATAATGAAAATAATAAAAAGCCAATTGAAAATTTTGTATATATATATATACAATTAAAAAATAATGCTTATTATAATATGCTATATTAATTATTGTATGTATAACATATGATATGATTTATGTTTTGCATTCGTATAACCTTGTTTAATGCTCAATTAAATAATTTTAAATGTTAAAATATTATGGTATAATAAGATGTCATAAAATGAGTTCTGGTTTACTTTTTATTTACAATCTAATTAAAGTTTTATTCAATAAATGATTGTTTTATTTAAGTTCAATGGGGTTATACTGACAATGGTTCGGTGGCAGTCGTACACTTCATGGCTCATTGAATTTGCTATTTCATCTAGTTTGTACCTACCTTTTAAATGACGGTTTTTAACAACTTTACACATTCGTGTAGTTGGGCTAGAGTTTCCAATAGTGGAAAATTAATATTTTGATTTTTCGACCATTCCTGCACGTCAGATTTTTGAGCATTGCATTTTGGAAAATTGGTTACGAACATAGAATGATAGGGTGCATTATCCATAACGATTAAGCAACGTTCGAGAAGTAGTTTTAGTAGTTAGTTTTTCTAGAAGTAGTTTCTATAAACCATGTTTTAAACATATCTGAATTAATTGACGAATGGTAGTCAGTAGAATTCCCTGCTTTATTTCAAAATTAATTTTTAAATACTAATTTTGATCCTTCTATGATTCCGGAACGCGATGAAAATGCATGAACCAAATAAATGTTTGCTACAGCAGATCAGACTATTGATCAGACCAGGAAAAAAAAAATGTACTACTTTTCGTTGCCGCGATTATAATAACACTATCAACATGGTAAAGCATTACCAATAGCATCATTCAATAGGTTGACAGATTTCATTTATTAATTGTTAAAATCTCATTGAACTTATTGAATCTGCACTTCACTATGAATTATTAGTAGATGACTATTTCCGTCATTAATGTTGTCAATATTTATCATAAAAACTAGGGCTTGGTATAATAGACAATATTATATAAATAAATTCAGGTAACCTCTATTGGTTATATTTCATTAGACATTGTAATCGTATAATATAATATAAAAGAACTTACATTCATGAAGGTGACATGGACATTCAAGAAGAATGCAACTTGTAAGTATCTTTAGTACCTAATTACGTTTATATACGAATTACAATGTTAGAAATTCTTTTGAGTAGTACGCTGTGTTAGGCTGTGACAGACACACATGAGCTTGCCCCAATATTTTACCCTGTAAGAGAACCATGTTTTCAACGTTTATGTTATGGATCTTACATTTTATTGATACCTATATCAGTAGTTTGTGACTGACAATATGGTGGCATAAGCAAAATGCAGACAATTTAGGAAACTTATTTGCCTGATGAGTTATTTAAATGTTCTTTTCTTTATTATTTCCGTCGACTCAATCAGTATGTGGATCACAACTTCAAAATTCCTTCTCTTTGCCTATAATATTATGAAAATCTATTAAGAAATTGATGATACAAATAGTCATTGTGGGCTCCAATCAGAACTGAGTATATTGTTAATATGAATATGACATACTAACTCTTGCAACTGCAAATGTACCTTATCCTGTAATCTTAAATTTAAGTAAATTATATGTTATGAATTTTTCTATTTCCTATATTCCACAAATACTGACTGTCAATTTTGTATTTAAGGTAGGATCATGCTGTTCTTGTTGTAAATATTAATTGTGTTTTTTTTACAATATTTACCATATAAGTTAATTATTAACAACTGTTATCTGGTTTTTATAATAGTCTATATAATTGTATTCTTGAAAATTATTGCTGTTTTTAGATTACATACCTACCAATTAGAATAAACAATTGTTGCTGCTTACTACATTGTAAATTATGCCAGTGCTTTAAAATTAGCCCAGATGTAAGGGTGGAATGTGCCTATGAATTAAGTTATGAATTAAATTAAATATTTAGGTAAATCAACTGTTAACGTTTTCTGACTATTTTGAAGCTAGGTCAATATTACCATTTATTATAAATACTATTAATAATCAATGATATTACTAAATATTAATAAAAAATGCCAAAATTATTTATTTATTTTAATTACAACAATAAGAGTGTCTACAAACTTAAAATATTTGGAAAACTTGATGCACCATCCCTCCATTCTCAAGTGAGCCAGAGTCCCTTCACTCTATACTTACTACACTTTGCATTTCCATCTCATACCATGAACTAGGTGTACTAACCATAGAATTCACAGTATGGTGTGACTTGAAAATGAACACCCTCTAGCGTAACTGTGTAAATATTTTTTTTTTTTAGATTAAACTCTTTAATACCTACTTGTTCTTTTGTATAAATTCTTGTAATTCATTTATGTAGTAATAAATTAACATTCATATACCTACATTTCGTTTACACTTCTTCACGACTCTTGAGTGTATTTTGTTTAGATTAGGGTGTTGCACCACTGTTTACCGTCTGAGTTTATACTTTTTATTTAATGATCATTTTACAAGGGGAAATCGGTAAAAAAGACCAGGGAAAAAAAGAATAATTTTTAAAAATTTATAATATACTTACCTATTCATTGATAAAAAATAAAATAAAATATTAATATCAAATTATTATTTCTTATTTATCACCGGTAACACTACAAAAAATTGTCTATACATTCACATTTCACATAAATGCCTCGTTCTCATTCCTATACAAAATATTTTATAAATAATTTGACATACCCAAGTACATTCAAATATAATAAAAAAGTTTAAAAAAATTGAATTAATGATAATCGAAGTATGTTATGAATACGAGTCGATTTTCGATATTTTATTTTCAATGTCCTATAATTAGCTCTATAACTTGTGATATTTTACTTTTTGAATATTAATTATTGAGTTTAGTGATTAAAATATCGAAAATATACTTTTAAACTGACACAGATTAACTTCTCTTCTACAATATAGATAATAATTAATAGGTGTTTTTACTCTCTGACCTCACAATAAACCATATTATTGGGAATACAAAACTTAATTTTCATCATCAATTAAATATAAATTTTATATATTAAATATGCATATTTTTAATTTTTAAAAATTGTTCTTTTTTTCCGGGATTCTTTTACAGGTGTCCGTTTCTTACTCATATACATTACCCATTAAGTTCGTATTGTTTAATAATACTCACTTGCGTAGGCATTTCTAAGAAAATGTATCCTTTCGGTTTTGGACGAAACACCGTTTGGACTGTAGGTTTGTTGAGATCAGGGTTTGCAATCGTTATAATAACATTATGAATATAACGTTATATTTGACAAAAGACGATTGGAATTTGTAAACGTAATTATAACGGATAAACAATAAGCGATTATCAAATTAAATACCGCAAAACAAAACATAACGATTAACAAAATATATTATACATCATTAAACAAGACATAACGCAAAACGTAATTTGTAGAATATCATTAAATGAAAAATAACGCAAAACGTAATTTATAAAATATCATTGAACGAAAAATAACGCAAAATGAAATATTTTAAAATATATTTATTTAAATGGGCAATTGGTTTCGTAGAAACATTTTTTTCATTCAAACAATCTAAGGATTGATTATATTATATTCCGTATCCGGGCCATATTACCCACCCGCATTAGTTATTATTTTTAATTTTAATAGTTATTAACACCATTTTAAATAACGATCAACCCCAAACTTGTATAATGTAGTTTTAATTCTGAAAACTATCAACTTAAAAGTTGAATAACGTTTTAATTCTACTCGTAAATAACGATAAACGCGAAAATCGTGTAACTTTTTAATTCTAAATAACATAAAACGGAATTTTTTTTTCAAATCGAAGTGCTTGAGTTCAATATATCTATATAATTATAACTGGCTTAACATAATATTGAAAGTAAAGTGCATTGTTCTAGCATTACAAATACCTCGATGGCTAGCCTTCGAAAATGTCACGGTCTTTCTTTTTATAAAGTGTTTTTCGTCCAACACTAATTCCGAAGGGTTTATTTAGCATTATTTCTCGGAAGTGCGGACTTTGAAGTATTGCACGCTTCTGGTATTGTTGGTATATCGTATATATGAGTACCTACCTAGGTATAGTTAAATCATAATATTTATTTAGGTAGGTAGCATGTAATTAGGTACACTGGTTGTATAATACTTAATATATTATGACGTATACCCACAGCTATCTGAAGGGCTTTTTGAAATGCATGCATTTACTTTTAAGTGCACTTATACTTACCTAGTTTCCTTTGTAAATACAATGGCCGAAGGAAATCAATATAAAAGGATATCTAATAACCACGCAACTACAACTTACTGTATCATAAAACGTCACAACATATCTTCTGGCATTGGGTAATATTATTAATATTATTACCAGGATGCCACATATGTGTCGTGGCCGTCTTACAAATTTACAACAGAGCAATAACTGTTCTGCGCGGGAAAGAGCCGAGAAGGCTACATTCATGATTAAGAGACTAAATGTTCACCACTTAAAAAAGAGAAATTTGGCTGTACAATATCGTTTTTATTTTTTTTTTTTTGCTATCACTTATAGGAAAAATCCATTATTGTTAATATTTTTCAAACTTGAGTACTTAACCTTTTTTTGTAGTTCCGATATCGAAAATATATAATCGATATTGCACAGCCAAAAGTTCTCCTTTTTATGTGATACAAATTTCGTTTTCTTAGTTATGACTGTAGCCTTCTCGGTTCTTATTTCCTAGCAAAATAATTGTTGGCATGTTTTACATTAATAAGACGGAGACAACACACGAGGGGGTAGCGTTCTCTCGTAGCACTGACATTTGTTGTCTCCGTCTTACAAGTGTGTAACATAGCACATTTATGCTTAGTAGATCAATTGTAGCTTCATTAGTTTAAAAATTAGAGTGAATCGAATTATTAAGAAACTTGATTGAAAGAACTTTAACTGTGTTTGTACGATAGTTCAGTTATTAAGTGAGTTGCGAGCACTTTCAATATAGGTACACTGTATTATGTATGCAAAACTCTCTAAAAAATCGAACTATCGTAAAAAACGCACATACAAACACAGATAATGTTCTTAACATCAAGTTTCATTTCAGTTTCGATTCACTTTAATTTTTAAACTAACGAAGTTGCATGTAATAATGGTACTTATCAGGTATAGTATTATATTTTACACCTACTACCTATCGTCATTTAGACTCTGTGCCGATTGTTTTTAATCTGCCCACTGTTTGTAAATGGTAAGGGTATGGGTACCTACCTATGTGGCTACGTAGGCAATATATGGTGTAATATATTTTAAACGTATCTGTTTTCAGTGTTCAAACGGAGTGTTTCGACAAACTCGAAAACTTTCTCTGCGTTTTCGGGACAAATGGACACATTCCGCATAGTCAACTATCAAGACATCGATTTGCAGTAAAATAATAATATCATGATCTCCCGTCTTTATATTTGATATAATAATATAGGTTACACACATACACACACATATATTTATAAATAATATACCTATAATATTATCTATTTACGGTTTTGTTTAAGATTTTATTTTCAAAGTTTTATAATATTATATTCACTCATTACACTTTTCTAGTAGGCACTTAGTGCTTTATGATAATATAAGTACCTATACCTATCTAATCGTACCCTATATATCCGTATAGCCATATATATATATATAGGTGGGGTATACCATATGTGATATATGCTATGATAATATATATATATATATATATATATTGTAGATTGAAATTTATCATATATTGTTATAAGCTGTTAAATGGTTCTAAAATTTCGATTAAGTTGTTCTCCGTTTAAAGAGATCAAACGATATTTTGTGGATTATTTTATTTTTATTTTTTGAAAGTTTCATGAGAGTACCCATGTGTTGCCAAAAGTCCATTAAATTATAATATTTAAGCTCGAATTATATACATCAATGATCAAATTATTAAACGGCAATTTTTTAATAATAGATCGAGTATAAATTATTATTTTATTGTAATAATTGTGTAAGGTATAATAATATTATTATGAACATTAAACGATAATATTATAGCAATACCTATACTATATATACTTGCGTCTGTAGTTGAATGGTGTAAAATAGCATAAATTTTGGTATCAGAGTATTTGAATTAATATACATTATACATAATATGTCTATATTTATACACTTTATAGAATCTAATAAAACAATAAAAAAATAAAGTGTGTGTTATCTTATTTTTAATTCAATATACCTACCTATCTAAACAGCAAGTAAGTACCTATCTAACTAAATATTGATTTTCAGTGAACAAAAATAATCATGTGTTTGCAAATACTTTTAATTTAAGTTGAACAATATATCAGTGTTGGGGGTAAGTTACTTTAAAAAAGTAATTAATATTAATTAAATTATTATTTAAGTAAAGTAACTCAAGTTACAATTATACCCTTATAATATATGAGGTTCCCCGTACCCCTTGCCTATAGATACTGTATCTCGGCTCACGGATGTGATTTGTGTGGTCATCGTTCCAGCCCACGCTTTCATGATTTCCCAATATAATTCTGCGAATTACTAAAATATTAATCTATGGTCTATTTCATTAAAATAATCATTTTACTCTTTTAATATCGTTGTGTTCAGTGCTTCTGTAAAATATTACATCCGCCTATTTTTGAACCCTTCCGCCTGAGTCATTATATTATCCAGTGAGCTTGTCTCCTTACGTCAAACACAGGAGGAAATCCTATTTCTGTTTTTAATAACCGATTTATGCCGATCTACAGTATACTATGCTAAATATGCACCTGTGGAATTGGTTTTATTGTTACGTAGTAACTTGCTTACTACAATAGTTTAGGAGTGGAGTGTATAAAACTTAATAGTCCACGCTAGATATTCATAGGAAACGTTCTGTACAGGTACCTACCTATTTAGAGGAATCCAATTAAATAATAAATTTAATTAACTGTTCTCGTGATTTACAGTGCAACTCGACATGTCAAAACCATTGGAAACTGAATTAAAATTAAATATACATACATATTAGATTGGTAAACATAATAATAATCGCATTATTGACGAATATTTTTTATCAATTTTCAATAAGTAGATACTTACTAGGTACTTAATAATTTGAAACTGTAAAGCGTTATTATATAGAAATTACTTATCAAAAGTAATTTTCATTACATTTTCGTTACATGGAAATAATTCTAATGAAATTCCGTAAAGCGTTACAAACAAATAGTAACGCCGTTACAGACTTACAGTTAAGAGTTACTTTCGTTACGTTACTATCGAACACTGCAATATATATATATATATATACGAGTACACGACATACCTATACTACATGATACAATTTGTAAAACAATTACATGTTAATACTTTAATAAATTTAGGTACCTACAGGCTACAATATATATATAAATGTAGGTTAATTTTTGATATATAGGTACAATACCATCAAATACTCAAATAGTCAAATATTTCAACTTTAAATTAGTATACACCTACCTACTTATAAGTAATAAGTAATAAACTAATAACTAATAAGTGTTCGACATCACGTCAACTTATGAATTATATTATTCGCATTTTCTATTCATGTTTGTATGTTTAAGAGGTGATAGTTTTTGTAGGTACTCAAGTACTAAAGTACCTACCTACCTAATTTTGCAATTTGCAGTAAATACGATATCACGACATTTATAATTTCAATAATTATTAACTTCATTCATTACATTTGCATCTAATCTAATTGTTATTTTAACTAAGACAGTTTTATAGTATAATGCTTCAATTTTCTACTTCAATAACTTAACCTGGTAGAACAGTAAATCAATAAAGTTGGTAGGTACTCAGAGAGCCGGAGAGGTCAAAAGTAAAAATAACAAGTAGTTTTCTTAATAATTGGGGAAAATAAAAAATACAATTAGGAAAATTTAGAATTTCTAATCAATACTAGTTTTTGAGAAAACTGATTTTTTTACTTACACAAATTAAAAACCAATTAACCATAGACACTTGAACTTAAACCAAAATTTATATTAGCATTTTCTATGCATGGTATAATTTTTACAATATTAATTAGATTTCTTTTAGCTATTTATATGGACATTTTTGATTTTTTTAAATTTTTTTCCATAACTATAAATATTGATTTAATATTTTTTCTTGGTAAAAATTCTTGAAAATTGAATACAAGGATCCTCATAAGAAGTTTATTCTGAAACAAAAAATCTAATTAATATATGACAATGTTTTTTTTTATAGTTATTTTAAGTTTAAATTTGGACACAATTTATTATTTAAACAAAGTATAAAAATGTATTTAAAAAAATGTATATTCTAGTAATTTAAAATTATTATTAGTAAGGACTCTACACTTTTACGTATATTATTATAGGTACTTTATATAGACTATGAAATTTAGATTTATTTTAAGCTATAGTAGATGATTAATTATACTATGTACCACCTAAACCTATATTCACACTGATATACCACGTTGTATACGCTACCTATACGGTATGGCAGAAATATTGACTCAAAAGTTAATAGAAATAATGTTATAAAATATATACAGTATGAATCTTAATCACGCTCAACTCACTTTTATGTTAAAATTATACCCGTACCTATTCAAATTTTGATTTTTGTGTACCTTAACTAGGTACACATTATTTTCATAATACATTATTTTCAAATAACTTCTTAGATTTTTCAACGGATTTCAGAAGTATCCTGTATTCCTGTGCTTTGTGGAGGAGATACCAACTTTGCTAGCGAACTGTGCAAGTTGTAAATCAGATGATATTTCTGAAAACGTTGAAGTGTTGTAATTGAAATTTGAACGAAAAGTTTCTGAGTTACCAATTGTACCTAATTCATTGTAGGTATCATTGTGATGTGTAGGTATACGAAAAATGATTCTGAGCGAAGACTGTCTAGGGTTATTACTTATTACCTATATATAGTTTTTGAGCCACACCTAAAAATCAAAATTGATTTAGTTAAAAACTGGTTTTGCGTAAAAATCACCGTTTTCTATATTTTTTTTTGTTTTTGCCGATGCTTTTGAAAATTACTGGGAAGTGGGAATTATTTACTTTTGACCACCCAAAGTGATATTCCTACCAAGAAAGATGCTAAAGTAGAAAGTCGAAGCATTTTGACTGCCCTAAAATGCGTTATATCTCTTAATAATAATAATATAATAATAATACATTTTTATAATTAAAACTATTGAGGATTTTCAATTTTGATCTCCCGAAATTCCAAAGGACTTACTTTGAAAACTGCGGCTATAGACTAAGAATACCATGATTACGTGACGAGACACTATATTGCACTTGACAATTTTGAATTTTGTCAGAAAATCTATTTAAAGCTGTCCTGCAAATAGAAAATGACAGTGAAAAACTGTCAAAATCTCCTTATATGTTTCTAGAACATTATATGAGATCACTAAGCCAAAATTAGAAGAACTTAGTGTACCTGATTGCCTTATTAGAACACGGACATAAATCATCAGCTTAAATAATTTAAACAAACAATAAATCACAAAACAAAAAAAAAAAAAAATCAGACACACTGAAAAAAAGAAAATTTAAAAATTAATACCTACTTAAATATAGTTTGTCATACATTAAATAATATTATAAAGTAGGTACATCAACATCATAATATGTAAATTGCAATTAATAAAATACAAACGATTAAACGAGTTTAAGTACTTATTATAAGCTTAGGTCTAACGTAAAATAATTTAATATTTATCAATCCTATTGCAAATTGTAATTACTAATTTGTACTATTTGTAGTATCGACGAACAAAACTAGCAGACAACATATAGTTTGGTACGATATAAATTAACAACCAATCAGAAGTGCAGATCCACGCGATGAACCATAAACGAGGTAAGAAGTGGTATGCGAATCACAAAGTTGTGATCATATTATCTATTTATTTAATCATGTATAATTATAGTATAACTAAATAAATCTATTTAGTCATGGTATATAGTATAATTTTTATCCACGCATTGGACATACCTACCGAAAAATGTGTTATATTGATAACACGTGGAACCGTGGAAATATTTAAATGACAACTTGATTTTAGATACCTACCTTAAAATGTAAATCGTGAATGACACAATAAATTTGTTTTCACATGTAATAAAGGATAATCAATATTAATATTCATATTATTATTATTATTTATTATAATGCGTTGAGTTGTGGTCAACATACTACATATATTTTATAACTTTTGTTTGATGTGTGTTATAATATGTCAATCAGTGGCGTGGTGAATGGGGTTTTATGACGCCTAGGCGTCATGGTGAATTTTTTTTTTTGGGGTGGGGTGGTTGGGTACATTATGGTAACCAATAACATACAACAAAAATTAAAATATT